GCAGCTGTGGCTCCCACAACTCCTCCACTCTCCCCACGCCCAACCTAGCCACCTTTTTCTGTCACTGCTAAATCCTCAAATTCTGAAGCACATTCTGCTGAGCACCTACCATCCCTCCCCAGGACACCGAACCCGCTCCGCACCCCCACCCCGCCCCCGCCATGCCTGGAAGACGCCCAGATTCCTGTGGAATGGGGAACCTCTGGCTTCTTCCACCACTCCCCACCCCAAAGGTACTGCCTCACGTTCTTTCTAGCTCTCCTACCCTTCTCTGTCCCAGGAGCTCCCAGCTCCACCTACCCCTCACCTCCAGCCCTCTATTCTCTGCAGACAGATTCCCGGAACCCTCCAGCCCTTGCCTCCACTTCCCCCAGGGACCGCTTCCTCTTCTCTGCCCGTCCTCAGGGGAGCTCACCTGGATCGTCCCACCCGTTCCGCCCCCGGGGACAAACCCAGCACCATCACACTATCAGCTTCCCTCCCGGCTCCCAGCTTTGCTCCTCGCGCTCCCTCCGCCCCAGGAAGCTGAAGGCTCCTCTGCCCTGGGACCCCTGCTACTGGACCCCCGCTTCCCTGCCCCTCGCCTGCTCCACGGTTCTGCCCCGTCTCGCCCCAGACAACGCCGGTCCTGGATCCCTGCTCCCGCCGCACCCCAGACACCCGCCGCCCTCTGCCTGGGACCCCGTGCTGGCCTCCTCCCTAGGACACCCGAGGACCGCTCCGCCCGGCACTTTCGTGTCTCTCCTCTCCTGGCCCTGGACCCCCGCCCCTCGCCAGGGCACCCCGCCGCTCCTCACCCGCAAGAGCCCGAAGTACAGCGCCCCAGGCAGGAGCTGCAGGAGGTTACCCAGCAGCGGCAGCAGAGCGGGCCCGGGGGGCAGGCGACCTCGGGTCCAGATCGCGGGCAGCGCCAGCGGCAGCAGCAGCAGCAGCACCAGCAGCAGCAGCGCCCAGGTGCCGGCCGCCTCCATCTCCGCAGGTTGGCTCCTTCTCCAGCTCCCAGACGCTCCACGCCGGAGGGCAGCGCCCTTCCCAACTAAGTCAGGTGGGGGGAGGCGGGGCAGCGAGCTCCCCACCCTGGCCTACCGCCAGTGTTCTCTCCCCGCCGCCGGATTTCTTTCTCCCAGACCGCTGCCGCCGCCTGGCGTCGGGGACACACCCTTTCAGTCTCTCACTTTCAGGGGAGCGGAGAGAGCGCTTTGGGCCCCGAGTAGGGCGTGGACAAACTGGGGGAACCTGAAAGCCAGAGACTTTGGCAGCCTCTAGGAGGCCACACCCGGAGCCTGGCGGTGATCACCCCGCCCGCTGCTGCGTTCACCCCCAACACCCTCGCCATTGCCATGCCCACGTCCCACCTCCCTTTTCAGTGTTATCAGGGTCCAGCGCCCAGGCGCTCCAAGCCGTCAGCTCCCTCCGTGTTTGCCTGTACGCGCCTGTACGGTCTTTGAGCCAGTTTTCTCCAGCACCTGACTGACATCTGCACCGCGAACTAGGAGGAGGGGCTTGACCTCTAACAATAAAGTGTGAGGTTCAGAGAGGTAAGTCCCAGGCCACACAGCTAGCAAGCGGCAGCGCTGGGATTTGAACCCAGGCCAGTCTGCATGATCGGTTGAATCATTCATGTATTGAGCAGTATGCATAGGGGTTAGGGCCATCAAGTTGAAGCCAGGCTACCTGAGTTCTGTGGACAAAAAGGGGCCACATGCGAACCCGACAAACTCTGGGGCAGCCTTGCAAACTCAGAGACCCACAGTAACCACAAAGGATGGTTGAAATTAAAACTTTTAAACTAAAAGCAGTTTATGGCAGGTAGTCATGTCTTAGGCTAGAATCTTTCCTGGCACAAGTCAAATTTGGCCTTAACTAAGCCTGTCAATTATCTTTTGCATCCGGGATACCATACCTTTGGAATGTCAGGGTAACTCCCCTTTTCTGGATCCTCGGGGCACAACCAATGCACCAGGGTAGAGACCACAAATCCTTTCATTTATTGTTATGTTCATTGTTGACTGTTAACGCTCCTGTACCACCTTGTAAAAGAAGTAGGTGTCTATCATTTTACTTTTTATCCAATCCCAGAGGTTTCCCCGCTTTGCTTTCTCCACCTCTTTAATCACAAATGAATTTCCTGTAACCCACTTAAGTCTCCTCTTTTGATTGTGATGAACAAAATAAGATGTGAAACTGCCCTTCTCTGGAGCATTATCTCAACCCGTTGAGTTTTTGCTTCCTGGCAAGTGTTGACAGTTTGGCTGAAATAAACTCACAAAAGTTCTCCATAGGTTTGAATGCTTCTTATATCGACAGTTCGAAGCCTAGCTTCTTCTTCTTTTTTTAAAAAACTGGAGAGCATTATGCTAAGTGAAATAAGCCAGTCAATGAAAGAAAAATACCACATGATCTCACTTATTCATGGATAATTGAGACCATTATAAACTTTTGAACAATAATAGATACAGAGGCAGAGCTGCCTCAAACAGATTGTCAAACGGCAGCGGGAAGGCTGGGGAGT